TTCAAAAGTTTGAGCTGCGTGTTTAACTTTCAACAAGTGTGTGCTGCGTGTTCACAATCAAAAGATGGGCTGCCTCCTAACAACAAATCTCTTCGCCTCTCCGGTAAACCAACAGACTTAGTCCGTGTCAGAATCGGAATGGCCTTCGTTGGAGGACAATGCCAGACATCAACATTATCATTAGTATATTTTTTAGATAACACAACAATAGAGGGGGCCCTCATTTGCGAATTTTCTGGCATGTTACTCGTAGAATACTTCAGATACCCTCTTCATTTTACAATACGTAACCCCCCTTTTAATATTGGAATTTTCAAGTCGATACTTCACCATCCATAGCACCTGCTTATTGTTAATTGAACAATAACTATTTCCATAATAGACTAACTCGCATTGACAATCTACTGGGAAAATAAATCATGCCTACAAACTGTCATTACCGTCTAACCTTCGATCATAAACATTTACTCTGACCAACCGAATAATTCAAACAAAGCCAACGTACCAAAATATAAAAAGGACAAGCTGGTCTAACAAAAAACACTTATAAATAAAGCAACATTTCCCAATTTGAAATTTATGAGTAATTTTTCCATTATTTTACCGTACTTTCACAATTTTTCAATTTGTAATTATTACTATTTGTAGTTATTTATATTACACTTATAATATAAAAAAATTTGAATACAACCCGTCCAAAAGAACATGTAAAAAACTGATTATATCAAAAGTGAATTGTTCTCAGCCTTACACCATTAAAATTACCAAAAGTGAGAAGATTTGAGTTAAGCTCAAATTTAAAACGGCAATGATAGGTATCATGAAAATTTTTTCATGAAAATAATCATGAAAGATTTGTGATCCTTGGATTACACTTAAAATAAAGTACCACACACTAATTAAGACAATCCAAGGATCATAAATTTTTCATGATCATTTTCATAAATTTTTTTTTATGATCCCTAACTTTTCTCAATTTAAAAAGTATAATGAAAATTACATATTTTAGATAACACCAAGTCTGAAAAGAATAAAATCGCAAAATCAAATGTCTAAACATTGGATCGGCCAAATTTCATGACATTCCGAGCATGAGTTGTTTTGCCTTTACTCGCGCCTTTTGCCTCTGCATTGCTTGTCCAGAGTTCCAAAAGTTCTTTGGTCAAACAATCTGGATACCTTAATTAAAAAAAAAAAAAAATATGGCAGCAAAGACTTATATATGGAGATATCAAGGTACAAGAGAACACAACATATCTCACAATTAATACACATCTTCAACAACCACTACATATATATCTTGCAACTAAGATCACATATTTCATAACATAATTTTGACTCATAACCGAATACTCAGAAGCCCTAAAATGGGAGTATTAAGTAATTCTGGCAGAATAATCCTCAACGAAGGAAATTACGGAGGAGTTGTGCGAGTTGGATGCCAAAAACGATGAAGGCAACCACGAAAGCTATGAATGTCCATGGATTAGTGAAATATGTACGCCTCAGATACCCCACCAAATATTTAGGCCAACGACGCTTGCTGTGGCTAGCAGCCTGATTGCAAGCTTGAGCGAAATAGAAACTATCCCGAGGCAGAACAATTTCCTTGCAGAGACTGTGGAACAGATCAGAGGCCTCTTCTCTGTCGCCGAGACGGCTATATATGACTCCAGCCTTTTCAAGCACTTGCACGTCATTCTCAGTGTCTACGAGTCTATCCATGAGGGTAGCATACGATGTGAAGTATAAATCAAGGCCATAATGGCCAGTGTTAAGATCAAAGCCAGTGTAACACTGCTCGAAAGCAATGAGGTTTCTCAAGAGTCTTTCCGTAGCAGCACTAATTTGCAGAGTTGGGATTTTGAAAGAAGCTCTACGGCAGTACCAGAAAGGGCCTCGTGGGGCAACAAATTGGACCTTGAATGGGGTGTCACCGGTTTTAGTACTGACTTCAAACTTGACTCCTGCATACTCGAGTTCTGATGCAGGAGGCATGGAATTGGTTTTTGGTGAATCTTGGTGTTCTTTCTTGTTTTCGGGGATTTCAGTATTGATTGGTTCTGTGGATGATTGTATAGTACCTTCTTGTGTCCGGTATTGATTGTATAGAAAGTGAAGGATATGACAAATCTTCGGATCCCGGTCAATCTCGTGGCTTTGTTCCCGGTCATTCTTGTCGCTTTGTTCTGAGGGATTCATCATGTTGCCAAAGTATGAGAGGAGATAGTGACTAAGACTAGGCGGATGATTCGGAATAGTAACCACCGTGTGGTTCGGAGTATTAGCCACCGTGAGGTTCGGAATCTTAGCCACCGTGAGGTTCGGAATCTTAGCCACCGTGAGGTTCGGAATCTTAGCCACCGTGAGGTTCGGAATCTTAGCCACCGTGAGGTTCGGAATCTTAGCCACCGTGAGGTTCGGAATCTTAGCCACCGTGAGGTTCGGAATCTTAGCCACCGTGAGGTTCGGAATCTTTGCCACCGTGAGGCTAAACAAGTCCTCGAGAACGAAGAAGGGAAGCTGGTTCTCCAATAGCAGCAAGTCTTGTCTAATTGCGACACGATTCAGAGCGGTGTCGAAACAGAAATCTTGACTTGTTTTGTTATTGGAATTTGGGTTGTTGCTGGTTCCGATCATGTCAGGATGATCAGCCTCATGGTACCACCTGCAGTGACGGCTCCAGAAATATTAATCAGGCAGTTGTTGAAGAATTTGGTTAGAATTTGTGCAGAAGATTTCAAACTTGTTTGTTGGTACAAATAGAGTTTTTTAATATAAAAAATTATATTTAAATAAAATAAATAATTTAAACCAAAAATAAATTATTTATGAATAAAAAATGCAATGAAAGAGGTAGAAGATTGGACAAGGGTGGAAAAATTATGAATGTGTTAGAATTTTACAAATAAAGAATTACTTCTCTTGTTGAGTTCGTCGTGAACTTCTACTTAGTTGGGAAGTGTTTAGGTGTGTAAATTCTTGTAATTTTAAATTATTTTGAATTTATTTAGTTTGTTTCTTAGAAAAAAAAATCAAATTTTTATTTTATTTTTGTTTTTGTTTTTGTTTTTGTTTTTTTTTTTGAGATTTGCCCTCTGGGCCTGTTTGTTTTTAGAGATAGAATGGAAGGGATTATTAGTGAGGGTCTGCTAGTGAGGGGACTGCTAATGAGGAGAGTAAGAAAAATTGTGTTTATCTGATAGCCAATGGACTAATAATAGTTCATGTTTGTTTTAAGAGATAGGAGTGAGATTAACTATGTAAAATTAAACAAATACCCATATTATAATAGTATCAATTTTGGACTTATACCAACCAACTAATAAATGCATTACCCAATTAAACTATTCAAAAACTAAAATTAAAATTACATAATTGAAAATAATAAAGAATTCAAATATTAAACTATATATTATTATTATTAAAGAAACCAACCAATGGTTTCTTCAAAACCAGCCCATGGTTTTGAAAAAGGTTCATATCCCATTAGTGTGTACTTGATCTTGTTTTGCAAATATCCTGTTCTCCTGTTCCAGTTCTTTTTTTACCTCACATGTCTCTCTCTTGCTCAAGCTTTGCCATTGATGACCACAAGTTCAAGTTGATTGAAGCTCTATAAGTGACGATTTCAACCTTTATATTTGTCAACAACGATGTTGACTTTCAAATTCAAGGTGAGGCAAACTCGATGAAAACCAGAGTGCTAGATCAGTCTCCTCTCTTGGTGATCTTGTTGATTTTTTTTTTATTATTTTGTTAATTTTGAGAACTTGTTAAATGATATTTGTAATCTGCTTGTGAATTTGTTGATCTTTTTTGTTATTATTTTTTGATATTTGTCCTTTTGGAAATTTGTTCTAAATTGTAAAAACAGTTGAATTTTTGGAAATTATTGATTGTTTCTGAGTGTGGTTAAAAATTTGGAGGAGGGATATGTTTTTCTGTTTGATGATGTGGTGGATAGTATGGTCATTTACACTATAATCCAAACGGCTTCTTTTTTCAATACTAAGTCCCGTGAGGGATTGTTGATCTGTTCGTCTGAGGGGTTTCATAGTTCGTTCGGGACTATGACTCCGGTGCAACATTGTCAAAACAAACATGATATTAAAGAGTGACTCGTCATTGTTAGTCCAATACCAACTCATATCACGAAAAACAAATGGGCACTCTAATTCCATCCCTAATGATGTGGCTCACTCATATGCGAAGTGGTCCTACATTTTGAAGAGAGTTGATTGGTTATTATTGTTTCCCTCCTCATTAGAGATATAATTATAGGTAATAATTTTTTTTTTTTTGGATGTGCAAAAAGAGAGACTTTATTGATGTAAAAATCTAGTACAAGGTACAAAACAAATTACACCAATAAAGAAAAGAAGATGGAGGGTGCAGAAGTATCACAATGAGCTAAATCATCCTAACGAGGTTGGCACCAAAAAGCCCATCCTATCATTTGCTAGCACCCCCAAGTTGGTGAGGAACTAACGAAAGGAACAGACCACACACCAAACCAATACTGCCAAATCAAAACAGATCAAAACAGATCAACAAATTAGGACAGAAGACTAGTAGCATGCATACTCAGAATAAAACAACCTAGCAGCAGCCATCAAAATTAGAACAGATCAACAACAGCCATTAGAAAAGATCACCAGTAGCAGCCTTTCTCAGATCAAAACCAAACAACAAAAAAAGGATAGATCACCAGCAGCAGCCAATCTCATATCACCAGCAGCAGCCATTCTCAGGGCACCCTCAGTCAAGATACAGGCTTAACCAACCAGCTATAGACGCGCAAATTGGGCTGCCAGCTACAGTTCGGACTCAAATGTCACGGCTCTTAATCTGATCTCACAAAAATCGTTTTGGAAAATTGATTTTTAAGAAAGAAGTGCCAAACATGGATTGCTTTGCTAGATATAGAGTCGCCACCTAAATATTTTATTTTGGGAGAATTTAGGAAACCCTGACTCGTTTCCTAAGGCCACGTGTCCGTTATCACCAAAGTTGCCTCGGCTCGGGAACTTGGGTACGATTGGAGAAGGTCATCTATGAACACCCCCGCTCGCCCGATCAAAGATCGGCCTGTACTAAGCATGATATCTTATTTTTGAAAACATATACGTTCTTGTTCCGGTTATTAGCTAGAAAATTAATATGTGATGCGCACAACACACAAGTATAGACCGGATCGGCTAAATTGGAACAAAACATTTCATGTTTGTTTATTTGAAAATGGTTTGATGGTGCTACTCGCAAGTAGGCTAAGATGTGGATTTGCCACCCTCAAGTGGGCTTAGAAAACATGATTTTGCCACAATCAAGTGGGCTTAAAACACGCATTTCGATGAATTATCCCAATTCAGGTAATGCAACCTTCACCAACAGGCATCCAAGCAGTTATATCACCTAAGCAAATAGCCTCATAGCAAGCATGCTATCATGGCAATACTCACACTTATGCAAGATGCCAAAGCATAAACGCTTACCTAGTACTCCGAGCCAAAGCAATAGCTAGTTAGTAATCAATGCATGATCCTAGCTTATGTCAAGAAGGCTAATGCAACACATGTAAAATACAACTAAAAATAGGCTCGGCTAGTCTAAAATGGCATATGAGATACAATTTTATAATCATGTATTCAAGTAGGAATTGAAATACAATGCGGTTAGTATGATGCGCCAAGCCCGGTGCATGCAAGATAGATGAATGATGCAAACATGCAAGCATAAGGGAGCTAAATGAAATATGCCCTAAAACTAACCATTGTAAGCGGTTAAGTAAAAGGGAGAAAGAAGTGGGGTTGGAAGACATGCATCACACACACACACGCTTAATACAAAATTTGCCCTCTCGACAGAGGGTCCGAAAGAATAAGACAAATTGACTAGTTAACTAACTAACTAGCTAATTAATTATTACACAAGACTTATCTAATTAAACAGATTAATTAAGCTACTAAAGTGGTAAAGAGGCCTCGGAAAGAGGGACAAATGCATGCATGCTCGGCCCTGCTCGAAAATCTATCACCATGCTCATGCTGCCTCTGTTTACACTGCTCTGCACCTCTAAAAACTGTGCAAGTCTTAAGGATGCTTCTGAATCACCTTTTGGGTGCTGTGAGAGGCCATCGGCCAAGTGGAAAGGCCATCGGCCAAGTGGAAAGGCCATCGGCCAAGGGGAACTGGTCATCGACCTAAAGTGGGGCTCTCGGCCATAAATTTATAGCCAATTGGCATTGAAAATGGCTGACCGGCCTTCTCTTCCTACAGAATGCTATTTTGCTGCAGCAAAGGACAAATAGAGCATAGCAATGCATTTTCAAAGCAATGTGTGCACAACCACCCTTCTTATCATGTCATGAACTCAAGGGAGTACGGTTCTCGACCCTCAGGCCATCAATCACGCACTTCAATGCATGATGGCCCAAAAGAGCCAAGTGTGCAAATCAATATGGAATGAATGCACAAAACACATGAAGGTCTCACACTCTATCATGTTGGATCAAGAGTGTCGGCGACTAAGGATTAAGGCACATTTCGTCACTTCAAGACAAACGTTCCCCACTCCTAGTGTTTGGTTTGACACCCCAAACCAAACACAATGTAATGCAAGTAAGAATTCTAAATACAATGCAACATGAAAATGCAACGCTATGCAATCCAAACATGCCAAATGCAATAGGACTCGAGCGTGCACACAAGGCTAAGGTAACAAGCATGCCAAATGCAATACAACCTAATCAAGCATGTGACAAAATGAAAACTAGCAAGCATGCAAAATGCAACTTAAACCCACAAACATGCAATGTAATAGGCATGCGGCAACAATTCCAACGGCAAGGATGCGACAACATATAATGCGATAAGCATGCAGCGACACACAAACTGCATGATCCATGGACTTAAACTAAAAATGGATAGGCCTCAGCCACAACAAAAGCAGTGGCCAAAATGATGAAGTGATAGAATGAAATGCACAATAAGCATGCACATGCAATGGTCCAAGAGTTAAGGCATAAGGTCACAACACCCAAACATGAGCAAGGGGTGACAATCATGGCGGTATGGTGACACCATAAGCTTTGAAATTATGCTAAGAGTGATGCCAAATTAAACACATAACACAAGCAAGGCATGCTAATGGACTTCAAGTTCAAAGTTAGCCAAGGTACTTGGATCATGGTCATATCAACCAAGCCCCAAAGGACCAAGGTGACCCAAAACAGTCCCAAGGCAAGCCAAAACAAGGCTAGAACATGCATGGGGTGAGGCCAAAACATGCTAGTAAGGTGAGCACAAAACAAGAGACATACAAGGCCAAAAGGGGCAATTGCACTACACCTATTAGAACCAAACATGGCATGACTTAGGCCAATAAAATCAGAGTTATGGCATGTTAGAATGAGCCCAAAAACCCACTTAGATGGCATCCCAAAGGCCTAAGTATGATGGCATGCGCAATGACCTATTCTTAAGGCATGAAACACAAACTATCCAAAGCATGGAATAGGTGATAAATGCAAGTGTGTTATCATGGAACATGGACTGAAATCACATTTCACATGATGCCAAATCATGAAAATACTTCAAGTAACACATGCTAATGAACTCAAGGCACAAAACTTACAAGTT